GGTTTAAGGAAGCTGGCAACTGGGTCATTATTGGATTACCCTATTACGTTCACTTTTAATTAACATTTGGAGGAAATCTGATAACAGTAAAAGAAAAAGCTGCCATTATATGAGCCACTGAACTGCTTAGTTTCTTATCTATAATAGCTGTGTTTGGGTTCTTTGGGTTCTCTCTCTCTCTGTATATATATATATATATATATATATATATATATATATATATATATTCCAGATTCCCCCCACCTATGGTAAAATAGGGGAAAAGGGAATTTGTCCTTTGATTAAACGTAGGCTGTTTCATTGCCGACAAAAACATTGTTTTGTGATTTATTTTTTAAAAAGTATCTAATTTATATTCATTCACAGTATTTTACAGCCCATTCAAAAGCAAAGAAAAATAATGAAATATGAAAGCTTGTGCTAAGTGAACCACTTTGCCTCTAAGGTAACTTAGCCTGGTGGAAGCCAACTTGCTATGGAAGTACTTGAAGGACTGAGGGTAACACTATTCAGTTTTTGAAGGCCAGATTTTTTTAATTGTTAAAAATAAAATAGACTATTACGGCGTGAGCCCTTTGTGCAACATAAGGAAAGGTTCAGCGGATATGAAACTTGATCAGAGCTGCAATTGAAGGTCTCATGTGCCTATGGACGTATAATGCTATGCTATGCTATGGTACATAGAGCTCTGGGACATTGTGTTACAGAATCACATAGCAGCCTGCAGAATTGTACCACTTGATTGCAGCCTTTGGCCACAAACCAGATTGGAGCATATGTGCAGAGTCCTTTTATGTATGTCCTCCTCAACAGCTAGCCCCACTTCCACTAGGGTAGTTGCATGGGTCAAATCTGGCCATTCGAGAGGTACTCCTTTTCATTGTTGTTGTTGTTTAGTCGTTTAGTCGTGTCTGACTCTTCGTGACCCCATGGACCAGAGCATGCCAGGCACTCCTATCTTCCACTGCCTCCCGCAGTTTGGTCAGACTCATGTTTGTGGCTTCGAGAACCCTGTCCAACCATCTTGTCCTCTGTCGTCCCCTTCTCCTTGTGCCCTCCATCTTTCCCAACATCAGGGTCTTTTCCAGGGAGTCTTCTCTTCTCATGAGGTGGCCAAAGTATTGGAGCCTCAGCTTCATGCATGAGTCTGACCAAACTGCGGGAGGCAGTGGAAGACAGGAGTGCCTGGCATGCTCTGGTCCATGGGGTCACGAAGAGTCGGACACGACTAAACGACTAAACAACAACAACAACAACAACAACAAACAAGATCCTGTGACTGGATCTCCAAACATGACATCTTCCCACTGCCAAAAATGGGGAGAGGAGTGAGACCCTGCCAGCCAGTTTGTTACCAGGCCATGTAATAAATCAGTGTTTTAGTGTGGCAGCGCCTGCATTCTTGACACCAGGCAGGAGGAGTCTCTGCTGTACTTTCTTCAGGGCCTGCTTAAAACATTTTTGTTTAGGCAAGTCTATCCAGACGCCTAGATATGGGTGTGTTTTAATCTCTTTTTAGTCTACTGTTGATTTTAATTACCTTATCTACACGAATGTAAGGCACACATATGTTGGGTAAATTGCTTTGTGAAAATTAGGGTGCACATTAGATCTGATGGTGCATTTACATTCGCCAGCAAATACTTATTTGGTTTCAAGGTTTTTGAAAATTGAGGTGCTCATTAGATTGGATGGGACATTAGATTCATGTAAATACGGTAACCTTTGTTTATAATTACTTGCTTTTAACTGTTTTTATTGATAATTTTAGTATTTCTTGTAAACTACTTAGAGGTTTTCTTGTAGTCAAGTGGTATATGAATATTGTTAAATAAGTGAATTAAGAAGAGAATGGCTGAAATCAAAACAGGTGGGGGTTTTTATATAAAAAAAACACTTGTCCTGGTAGACTTTGAAGACGCAGTATCACTGTAGAGAGGGACCCCTGCTCGCATGGACTGAAGGAGTGTGAGGGGCAACATCCAAGGCATATTCTTCTGCCACCCAGCTCTCTTGACATATTGGCTGCTCATTTGTATATGAGTTGTATCTTTTTTGATCTGAGCAGGATACCGTTTGTCATGTCCTGATTTGCCAGGTGCCATCCCAAGGCAAAGTGAATCGCGAAAAATTCAACACGGGATGAATAAAGCCTTTTGTTTCCTCAAAGGATTTTCAAAAAGTGACCTTTACTCTCAGATGTGGACATCTTGTCATTTCAATTCCAGCAATTACGTTAATGTGCCAAGGGAAGCTGAGTCTCAACGTGAAACAAACATTCTCCAGTACACATGAATAGCCTGTTAAGTCACACTTCCGTTCCACCACCGGTGACTCAAACAGAACACAAAATATTGCATATTTGTAATTGTCTAAGTGAAACGAGATTGTGGACATCCTCTTCAGTGCAATCCATCAAACATTTATTGTTGCAATAAAACAGAGAGCAGGAGAGAGAGAGAGAGGAAGAAGGGATTAATGGCCCATATGCACCAACGAATTCTTCCTCTCCTGAATTCTTAATCTATGTTATACTGCACATGTTTATGTCATATGAATGTCACTGTGTCTTGTCAACTTCATAATGCACACGGCTGCAGCATTTATGCTGGTTCTCTGTTCATCATGCATGGTTTTGCGTGAATTGTCCACACACATGAGAAATAGCCACCATTTTGTATATTACTGTAAAAAATCGCAGTATGGGTTCAGAAGTGAGGTGCAGTACTTCAGTTTCTCCCCAAGGCAAATGAATCAGATATCCTGTTTGCTACGAAGGAGTAAAAGGCTATTGGCTGTCCAAATGACTATAAAACAGTCTGAGAGATGTTCATTAGATCTTTTACAATATCATGCAGGAAGTAGATACACCTTCTGGACAGCAGAGTGCTGCTTCTGTGCCCCCAGAAAGGGATGCCTTGCTTGGCAGTGCCATCACCCTATGAAGTCTGAGGAACAGCAGCACACTTTCTCTAATCAGATTAATTTCCTCGCTTTGTAGTGCCTTTTGTTTTGTTAAAGCAAAGTAACATTGCTTTTTAAAAACACATATGAAGTTTTCAACTACAGTCATGCCTTGGATCTCAAACGCCTTGGCTCCCAAACAAATCAGCTCCTGAATGATCAAAACCTGGAAGTGAGTGTTCCAGTTTCCGAACGATTTTCAGAAGCCAAATGTCTGGTGTGGCTTCCGCGGCTTCTGATTGGCTGAAGGATGCTCCAGCAGCCAATTGGAAGCTGCTCCTTGGTTTTTGAACAGTTCCGGGAGTCGAACGGACTCCCAGAATGCATTCTGTTTGAGAACCAAGGTACCACTGTATTTTAAAAATCTTCCCTTGCTATGTTTTAACAACAACAACAACAAAACATCCTGAGCTCTGCAGACAGCATTTGAGACAGCTTCACTTCTTGGAAAGTCCATTGGGCTAGAGAAACACAGAGATACAGGAAAGGTAGACCTGTGTTGGTACAGAATCAATAGAGCAACAGAGTGACACAAACGTTTGTGGACCCATGATCTAACTTGAGGAGCGGGGGAGATTCTTGCATTTGGAATTGGCAGAAGGGAAAGCACACTGAAGTGTCCCAATTTGCCTTAGTATTTGGCTCCCACAAAAAGCCAATGCACACCCCATGTAATTATTAGTATAAATAAATGAATCCACATGCTTTTAGGTGTCCATTTGAAAAAAGAAAAAAACAATTATGTGTATGCCTTAAAAAGTAATAATATGCGAAGCGATTTTCAGTGCACCAGTGCAGACTTTAAAGACTGCATCTGTTCAAAGGACCCAGAAATGTGCATCCAACAAATCATTAAAATGCAATGAGTATTAAATCTCTTTGGAGAGAAAGTGACAGAGCTTTCCCATTTGGAGATCTTCCTGGGAGGCAATATAATTTCCCCATTCCTTTTGAAATGGGAGAAAGGTTCCTTTCTGGGCCCTGGTATGATCTTCCTTCATCTCCAAATGCCTGGTGTGATTGGAAAAAAGTGTAAAGCATGCATAACTTTCAAATGATGCATATGAATGAAGTGCTAAAGCAGGCTTCTGCTTTACTCTGGCTACTCATTCCCTAACAGGTGCCAAAAAGAGCTGGGGAGCTCATATTTGAGTAAGCTGGAAAAAAAAATCTCATCCAAGACAAGTAGACCTCACTTTGTATTTATTATTTCCCTACGCTAGTCCACCTCTTTAGTCAACATGTAATAGCCAAGTCTAACAGTCTGCATTTTGACATATTTACAGAGAAGATTGGCAGCCAAATCAGCCTTGCTATCTCCCCATCCCAAGATGGAATGACAAAAAGCTCACCGAACAGAGGCATTTAGTTTTATCTGGGAATGGAGAAGGCCAGGATCTTACACGTTTTGCAAATATAGTCAGCTCCGGTTTATAAGTAATTCCTGACAAGCAAGCAACACATAATTTGCCTGAATTATGTCCTTGTATACGGTGGGTGACTAAACTAAATTCTCATATAAATCTATGCTGTCTTTTCTAAAACCTTTTCAGTAAATGCAATGTTCTTGCTAGGAGTGGCCAAATTCATCAAAGCTGAGCCCAAAATCCATGTAGTTTTTATTAGCAGGCTTCCGAGCAGTTTTATGTCCCATGTATTTCAATGGGAAAGACTTCAGCACATCCTTAACTCTCCTGTTGAAATTAATGGGGCTTAGAAGTGTGCAGCTCGTGGCCTATGTGGTCACAGGCCAAAGAAGGACAGCGCCTGCCATTTGTCTCCCTCTCTCTGCTGGCACCGTTCCCACCTTTAACCACACTTGCTGTTGCCACTTCTTGCTCTCTGCCTCCAGCCAGGCCTCTGATACACTACAGGGATTACATCTGGTCACTGAAAGCCAACAGGAAATTTATTAGCACTGCCAGGAAGTCTGCTGGCTGGCCCGAAAATGATTTGTTTTCAGAAATTCTACAAAATGTTCCTTTTGTAACTTTTTTTTTTTTTGCTGTTGAATATTCTTCAGATATTGTTTCTGTGCCCAGATAGTCGCTGACATATTGCTTCACTGTCCCTAGGTAGAAATAAGCTTCAGAGAGAGAGTGCTTATCTAGACTGGGTTCCTTTCAGCAAGAAGGGTCACTGGAGAGCTGCAGCAGTTTTTCATGCTTGGATTTACTGTATTCAAAAATATGGAAGGTAAGCATGGCAGAGGCACATAGCACTCCTGTCCACAACAAATCCTGCCAAAATCAGAAGTCCTTTCCCAAGCTCTAAGCTGGCCCTCTGCTCTTTCTTAATTCACACATTAAGTAGGAGAAACACATTACAAAATTCAGAGAGGTCTGAATTTTAAAGGATTGGGGCACTTTTTCAGGAAGGGTGAATTTGGCAAATCTGCATAAAAATACAAGCTAAATTAATTTCCATGCCATCCCTATGCCTTCAGCAAAAAAAGAAGAAGAAAAAGGGGTCTGGCCTTCCACAGGTGTTTCATTTCCTGGCCATTGCCTGTAATGTGCATAGAAAACTACCTTGTCCGATATACTCTCTTGGCTAAACTTCCAAACTTTTAAAAGTCTGGTGGCCTGAAAGTTCTTTCTTATTTACAGCTACAGGGCAGAACGAAGTGTAAACATTTTAAAACAATAACTTAAAGAAGCATTATTTAAATTGAGCATATTTCCTTAGCTTCAGCATCATCTAGTTATTTAAGAACTGCTTAAGGTTTAATTTCTTCTGCAACATGCTTTCTTTTTCCATCTCACTGTTCATCATGGGTCAAAGTCTAAGTGCACATTTCAGCTGGATTGCACAGTTTAGGGGAAGCCTTCCCTTCATGCCATCTCTGGCAATTTCCAGGTGCTCTGGTGGGCTCTGATGTGGCTCTGTTTGAACCTGAAGGCTTGTGGCTTTGGACACCTTGATGAAAACACCTCTAAGCATTAGACTGCCAAATGCTCAGAGCGAAGGACAGAAATTGGAACATGCTGGTTTTTTTATTGCATGCTTCCTCTCAGCAACCAGTATTCTCAGTTTTGGATGACAGGATTTTGGTTGACCCAATCAAGTTGATATTATATTCCTATGTAAAGACTGGGATCCTAATCTGTGTTACCTTAGAAGTTTCAAGTAAGCTTGGGAAATCAGGAAGAAACATCAGCCTCATAAAGGATAGGACAGCACATGAGCTTCTTGTACTGCCAGTTTGATTCTTCCATGCATTAGTGTGCATTCTGAAGTGGTGGGAGCCATTCTCATTGGCTCCAGCCATACTCTAATGACTACAACATACTTTCCTCTGTTGTGGAACCAGCCTGAAAATGGGGGATGATTCTCTACCATGAGCAGAAGCTGAATGTTGCATACAACTGCAGAAGAAAGTTGGACAAGCCCAATGCCATCATATACTGCCATAAGCAAAGAGAACAAAATGGCGCACACAGCCAGTGGTAGTGCACACTAGCCATTAGAGCTCCATTGTATGGGAAGATAGGAGTCTCTGTGCTGACACTGCTAAAAATCAAATGCCAGAATAGTTTTGGTCTGCAATTGGGTTTACCCTTTCATACCTGCATCAGCTGAAATTTAGTATACTGAAATACAAAATTATACAAATGTATAATAATAATAATAATAATAATAATAATAATAATAATAATACAATCCCATTCATTTTTACTTAGAATGAAATCTTAATGTATTAAATTGGGCTTACTCCCAATAAATATGTTCAGGACTGCAGCCTGAATGGTGCAGCAAGATCTTTTAAAGCATTTTCCATAGCAGGGAATTAGCATTTGGTTTCTGTTTCAGGCATGTGTGTATGTTTGACTGCGTACAATTTAGGATCCATTTCAGGAAGCAAAAAGCTGAAACTATTATTATTATTATTATTATTATTATTATTATTATTATATTTTGTATACCACCCTATACCTGCAGGTCTCAGGACGATTCACAGGACAAAATCACAATATAAAAACACAAAATACATAATAAAAACAAAAACAAGAACAACCCAGTAAACCCCACCAAACACATTTTGAAAGGGCATTGAATCGAAAACACATCTGTTTTTTTATTATTTATTTTTAGGTTAATCCTCCTGTCTCACTATCTTCTCTTTCTTCTGTTGCACTTGCATTGTTTGCAAAGTTAGTCACATTCAGAGTTTACCCACTGAAATTAATGGCTATAACTAACTAAGATCCATTAATTTCAATGGGTCTACTTCTGAGTAGAAGCTAATTGGAGTCAACCCGTTGTGAGTCTAAGAGGTACTGAAATGGAAGGACTGAGCTCCATAATTAGAGCTGTGTGACAATTACTTTGAACATTTTAGGAAGTCCCACCAACCCTATGCAAACTGGCAGGAAGTGACATATACACCCTCCTAACAGTGACTGGCCCAACTGGCTGGCAGTGCTTCCAGTCATGTCAAAGACCACTTTGGCTGTACCCTAAATCTGTAGTCAATGGGAACAGATCTACCAGCTTTCGATTACAATGGTGCTGGAAATGAACAGGTAGCTCTACCCAGTATTAAAAAAAACCGGTTTGCTTATATTACTGCATAATCTCCCCTAATCTCCAATTGAAGAAAGGAAAAAGAACACGTCAGCAAACAGTATAATACAATTCTAAATGATTAATTTCTGATTCTGAGCTGTAACAGGAAGGAAGTTGAAGAGGACTGTGGCTGTGTGTGTGTGGGTGGACAAATATTATCTAGCACCTGCCTATGGGATGACCTTGCAATCAAACAGCATTAATCCTTGCTGTCCTGATTATAATATAGTTTGAAAAAATAACAGTAGTGTTGGAGGGTCATCTTTGGTAGTAGAATGAATAATGGTTGGCTTCAGCTGTACACCTGCAGCTGGTCGTTTCCTTTCAAATGTCAGAGTTCCTCTTCTTTCATGGGTGTCATAATGTGAAAGGTTGCAACAGCAGTGCTTTAACATATTGCAGTGCTTTGTAATGGACATTAGACTGACATTGTTTCCGCCCTCCAAATATTATAAATAATCAAATGCCAGAATCATTCATTTTTATAGATGCAATGTCATTTTTTAAATGATTGGCATGACGTAGGTTTTCTGGAATTATTCTTTGGGGCAGATCATGCAAAGTCATTAAAACTGGCTGTGCGTACAACTCCTTGGCCTTACTCGGCCTTACTCTGCTAAAAGATCACACTAATTAATGGATCCCCCTAAGCCATTTGGTTACTGTATTCTGGCAGACATGTGTATGAAACTGCACAGACCAACAGAAGCCTAGGCAGGCAAAGTGATTAATTAAACACTTCATTGCAGGGATCACCAACCTATTTAGGCCTGTGGATGTTTTTGGATTTTTGAGGAAGTGCTGCTGGTCACTTCTATTCCTCATAGAGAGACAGAAAGAGTACACACACAGATTTAACTTTTCTAAAGGACCTTTATCAAAAGTGGTTATAGTAGAATTAATCAAAGTTTTGAAAAGCACATAGAGCTGCAAGAGGAAATAGTAATCCAAGTTACAGATACATTCTTGTGGTTGTTATTACTACTACTACTACCCCAATCACTGCTACCACTACTGTTATATTTATTTAATAAATTAATATAAATATGTTATGTTGGTCACATCTTCTAAAACACATCATCATCATCATCATCATCATTATAAAACACATCATCATCATCATCATCATCATCATCATGTCTTTCCCACAGATAAAACAGAACAAGCTAAAAACATAGAAAAGGTGTAATTAAACACTAATAGAATTAAAATAGTATAAAAAATCCATTAAACACAGGCAAAGCAAGCTCTTTGGCAGACTTATTGAAACTCAGGCCTATTAAAACACAAATAGTGTAATGTTAATTGGAGTGTGATGGACGGACCTTGGGTCTGCCTCTTGAAGACCCAGAAGCGATCAGACCCAGGTGGTGTGTCATCCATTCTGGAGGCAGTTAAAAGTTAGAGCCTGACAGTTAAACTGTCAGATGGAGCTTAGAAAGTGCCTAGGCAGGGCTTAGGCAGGGCAAACCAGATGACTAGCCTGAGGGGAAAGTAAAGACCCTAGAAGGGACTGGGAGTGCTTTACTGACTTAGCAGAACAAAACAGCCATTCTAGGAGGCAACAGTTTATTCAGAAGCAGGTTAAAGTGAGAGATTTAAGTAAAGTTTTTAATTATCTCTGTGAAAAGTTTTGACTGAAACACAATGTTGTTCCTTATCAGAGTCATCATTAAGCTGGAACCCTCAATGAGTGTGTTTAGATACCTCTCAAGTGTTACTGACAAGGAAATGTCTAAATCTTAAAATGCCCAAATCCAGTCATGTTAACTAGCTCCCTCCTTTCTTGAGGGAGGTTGCCACATGGAGTTCAGATAGCACTAGGCAAAGCACAAAATTTGAAGTAACAGACCTTACAAATGTAACTTTGGTTACTACAGAATTCCCCAATCACGCAAATACATAAATTGTGTGATTAGCCATCATGTGGTGCAAAGGTGGGTAGCCTCAGGCCCAGTATGGGTGTCAAATGTGGCCCCCGGCACATCTCTTTGGCCCTCAGGACTCTTCCCAGGCCATTCCCATCACTAGGCCATTTCTCTCCCCAGGCTGTATCCCTCACCAGCACTGCATACCCTTCTTGAGTGCTTTTCTGTGGTAGGACTGTGTCCTTGAACTGTGACCATTTTAGTTATTCATTTCATAACATCTATACGCCGCTTGATTGTCAAAGAACCTCAAGGCCTCTTGCTTGCTTTGGAAGACGTTCTTAGAGGGTGTGTGCGTGCGTGTAGAAAAATCTGACTTTGTGTGACCAGAATATAGCCTGCTGCACAGAACTAAGAATCACGTTCATTGCTATGCCAACTTTTGCCTTTGACTCCGCCCACCACAGCCATGTGACCCTTGAAAGTTTTTTCCCCACACAGGAGCGTGGTCCTTGGGAACTTGTGAGAGTCAGAAGGTGTGAGTCATTTGTGCTGTGGCATATGGAGAGGTGAGTTTTAAGGCAGGGTCTTAGTAACTCCTCCCTCCTTGCATGTCAATTAGTATTAGGGTGGAGGGGGGGCTTCTATTGGTGGAGGAGGCACTAACAGGAATTGCATGCTCCTCTTCTGTCTGGAACGCGTTTGCTGCAAATTCAGATGGGGCACAAGCTTCTGTCCTTTCTCTTTTGCTTTTTAAAATTATTATTATAGAAAGCTATCTCTGTGGTATTACAGCTTAATGTGCTTGACCACACATTTCTTCCTTATCTCTGTCTTTCTCTGACTCATCTCACATATATAGATGGTTTTGTGTTGAATAGCAAAATATTTCAAGGAAGGGGGCTAAAATGTTTAAAATAACTTTCTGTCTGTTTCCCTCATACACACACACACACACAAAGTATGCTCCTTTTTTAGCCAGCCTTTATATGATTTGCCATTGACTAGATCTTCCCAATTTCCATTTCCATTTCTCCATCAAACATTCATGATGAAAAATTGCTTCCTACTGAGTATCCATTAGTTACTGACGCTGAGGCTAATAAGCAAACTGTGAGTGCACTAGATAGCAAATTGAAATGAGTCACAAAATACACTTAGCATGCCTTTCCTGTTGGTGGTGGTGCGTCATTGGTAGAATGCTTGTTCCTTAACAACACGCATATAAAGATCAGCAACATGGCCTTTTTAAAAAAAGCACACACACAACGCACAATGGTCAACAGAACCTCCATTAACAAGGCTAACTGATTTGTTTATTCTCAAATGAATAATCTCAGTACAGGATGAACCATATCAGATATTACTTTTTACCTAAGATGTTTTCAAGGTCTGCCTACAAATATACAGTAGTTGTGTGAATGCAATGGGTATCATAAAGTTATGGTCACCTGGGAATAAGAATTCATTGTAGTTCTCTGCTGAATGCAGTCCAGACCTACGGTGCTAGCTTTGTTTTTTTATGCAATAGCCTTTAGGTTATAATCCTGGGCACAATACTGAGAAGCAAGACTGAATGCATAGTGGATCAATCAAAATGGAGAATGAGGTGAAAAACCAACTTAATATTTAAGACTAGGAATGGGGAAGAAATTTGACTTGGTTCACATTTAAAGGGGAAGCTATGCACCTAATTCATAATTTCCATTACAATGCAAGGACTGAAACACAATTATTGGTTGAACTTGAGAGTTCTATGAAGTTTGCAATGCAATTCAGCAAAGTAATAAGTACAAAAATGCAGAATAAAACACAAACAAAATCTGAAAGTAACTTAGAACAATGTGTTGTACTGTGGAGAAATTGGCTTGCTCAAAATAAAAATAAAAATGGGTATATTGGGCAGAATTGCATGCAAAAGTGTACATTAGAGGAAAATCCATGCAAAAATGCTGGTTAAGTTTCATGATACTTAAAAAATAAAATAAAATGCAAACTCATGTGGAAATGTGAAGAACTGAATTTCTCCACTGGAAAAATGAGAAATGGAGAGGTAGAAAAATTGTCCTATTTGCCAATCCCTACTTTGGGTAAATGTGTTGCAGACTTGGCTGTAATTTATTACTTGGAAACTTAGTGATGGTTGGAGTCATTTAACCCTAATCATCCCCATCCTAAACACATTTGTCCAGATGTTTGTGGTATTCCCACTGTCACTGAACAGATGATTGTCAAGAAGGAAAGGGGATTCTGCCGGGAACCTCTGACCCCTCTGGACAACACGCTTCAGGCCAGCGGTGTCAGGTAGAGGGGAAGGAGGGGGCTTCAGCTCCCCCAATATTTTTGGGCAGGGGGCAGCACCCCCCATATTGAGGGGGCCGCCCACCCCCTGCTGGGCACCCTCTGCATGCGCCAGCCCCAACCTCCACCTGGCAGCCCAGGGGCCAGGCAGTGGCTGGGATGAGCGCAGGAGATATTTGCTTTGCTCGTTCCAGCCACAGCCCAGCAGCCTGGCAGCCCGGTGGGGGCTGGGACGAGCCTCTGCGCATCCCACCCTTGCCCACCACACGCTGGGTGGCATCATATGATGCATCACGTGACACATCACATGATCACGCCCCCTCAAGGGGCAAGTTTAGGCTACCTCATATTACACCCTGCACATTTCTGCAAAGCAACTTCTTACATCTATAGTCATGGCAATCCACTTCAGGAAAGCCTTTTGCCCCATTCAAATTACTATTCACTTGACTGTGGTGCTCAGATGCAGTCTCAAGAATGTTATGTATAACTATGCCCCTTTTTAACTTGAATTCAAGTCCTATAGATTTTCTCTGGATGCAAGCATACCCATCTTCCCATTATATCAACATAACACCCCGTATATGGCTGTAATATGGACTGCATTGACTTCTTCTTCAGGCTTCAATGTGTTTAGACTGCAGTCTTAATAAACTTCTTTTTCTCTTATCTATGTATCATTAAGAAGCAATGACACCTTTATTGCTTTTTGCAACTCAGAAGCATTATGATTTATCATAGTTCAGTGTTGGGCTTTGTGATGTTTGCTCTTTAGTTTCTTACACCATGCTAATTGCAGGGGGAACTGGAGCAAAGCACATTTGCCTTCTTTTATAGTGGCAGTGGCTAGGTAGAGCCTCTTAATATTCAACAAGGAACAGATGGGTGAAGCAAAATATACTGATTAGTATCTCATGGAAAAGAAAATCCGTGTGCATGCAAACAATGCCTCTGTGTGCCATCTGTATGATCTAAATTTGTGGGAAGTCATGAGTGCTAAGAAAATGAAGCATTTTCCCATGAATAGAACCTGGATTGAGATTTGAATATGCATCAAGGAGAAAATGTATAATTTCCAACATCTATTGTAATCAACCAAAAAAGCATGCTGCAATGTCTTTGAATGTACTTTTTACCCCTGTGACCTGAAATGCCTACCCTGTAAAAGAATTGGTTTTCCTTTTCCAACTGGAATTGTAGATTGTAGGAGATGTAGAAAACTCTCCACTCCTACCCTATAGCACCTTAAGAGTATTTATTTTATTTAAAAGCAACTATAAGCATTTTAATGAGGGTGAAAGAGGAGAGCGCAAAATATGGTCTGAAGCTCAACATCAAAAAAACGAAGATCATGGCCACTGGGCCCATCACCTCCTGGCAAATAAAAGGAGAAGAAATGGAGGCAGTGAGAGATTTTACTTTCTTGGGCTCCATGAACACTGCAGATGGTGACAGCAGTCACGAAATTAAAAGACACCTGCCTAGCAATGACAAACCTAGACAGCATCTTAAAAAGCAGAGACATCACCTTGCCAACAAAGGTCCGTATAGTTAAAGCTATGGTTTTCCCAGTAGTGATGTATGGAAGTGAGAGCTGGACCATAAAGAAGACTGATCGCCAAAGAATTGATGCTTTTGAATTATGCTGCTGGAGGAGACTCTTGAGAGTCCCATGGACTGCAAGAAGAACAAACCTATCCATTCTTAAGGAAATCAGCCCTGAGTGCTCACTGGAAGGACAGATCATGAAGCTGAGGCACCAATACTTTGGCCACCTCATGAGAAGAGAAGACTCCTTGGAAAAGACCCTGATGTTGGGAAAGATTGAGGGCACAAGCAGAAGGGGACGACAGAGGACGAGATGGTTGGATAGTGTTCTCGCAGCTACCAGCATGAGTTTGACCAAACTGCGGGAGGCAGTGGAAGACAAGAGGGCCTGGCGTCCATGGGGTCACGAAGCATCGGACATGACTAAATGACTAAACAACAAGAACAACATAAACATTTCAATATCTCTAAGCTGTAGTAGTGGCACAGTGGTGGAACTCTGAGAATCTCTTTGCTCAGAATCGTTCTACTAACCTTCCTACATCAGTGGTAGCAGCTTAGAACCATGTGGAATTGGTTGCATGCCTGTGTGAATGGTATATTTAACGCTTCTGCCCCACAGGATCTAACAAGTGCCCCTTACCACCACTATATTTTAATCAGTGGACCACTTAAATGAAGCTTTGATTGATTAATAGGTGGGTACAAATTTCAATCCATGAGTT